TGGCAGCAGCGAGCTGCCTGCCAGGGAATCACTTGAACCTTCCCTTTTCAGAGGCACAGCCACGCTGCTTTACAGGAACTGTGCATATGTTGCATCCCAGCGCTCCTCACCCGATCCACCGATGCTCCGTGGGTCGTAAAAATTAAATGGGCATAAATCCATCAGCGCCAGGGCTCTTCCTCGAGCGCTATAAATCCCACGAAAGCTAATTAAAGAGGACAATGGTGCCCATTTCAAGCTGGCACAGGGATGCAGGAGCCATTATCACCGGGAAAACAGGGCTCCAAATGGATTTGTGAGGCCGAGGGGCTGGCGTTGAGCACGGCGCAGCCGGCGGCTCCTGCCTGGCACCGTGAGGAGATTGTGTTAAAGCCCCCAAGATTGATTTCTCCTCTGCTTTGCCTTGGAAATCAAATCATCCCATTAAGGCTTGTGCCGGAGTTTGTTCTTGGAATGTTATCTGGCAGCTCAGGGAGCTTCTCGTGGTGTTGGTTTGTTGAGCCTTCGTTGCTGCCGGAGGGGAGCAGGCTCTGCTGCTCTCCCCTGAAATGCCCCAAAGGAGGGGAGTTCCAGGGGTTGGTGTTGGGATCAGGGTTAAGGGGTGCTGCCCCTCTGCAGGGTTTGCTGCTCTCCTGTAGTTTGAGTCGGGTTTATGCTTTGGGATGGGCAGGGAAACCGAGGCAGGAGTGGGGTGGCACCATCCGTGGAGGTTTATTCCAGCAGGGTTTATTCCCAACAGGGAGTTGAGCCTGGATTTGCTGATGGATTTTTCATCTCCTGGCTGTCTTTTGGGGTGAAATAAGTATCCCTACCCTGGTGAAACCCCGTCCTGCTCTCGCTGTTTTAAGGAGTTAGACCTGACATCTCCAGTAGATTTTAAATATCTGACCTGGCTCTGGGGTCCATAAATCAGAGTCCTCATGGTGCTGGGAGGGAGAGATGGAAATCTGTGGGCTCCCAGAGCTCAGCACAGCTCAGCCTCCCACAGGGTTGAGCTGCTTGGGTTCCATCTGGAGCGTGTCCCCTCTGGAATCAGACCTGGGACACCCCCAAGGTGGGACAGGACAGCCCTGACCCTCCTGGGGGAGTTTTCCAAGCCCTCCCGGTGTCTCCTGCCTCCCTGAACTTCTCCCTCTCCCTCCTCTCTCCACTCTGAGTTTGTGCAAGGCTTTCCAGATGGAAAATAATCAGACTCAATGATCGTTAGGATTATTTTCCAACTTAAATGATGCCATGATTCTGTGAAAATCCTTATCCAACTATTCCCTAAAGGAGCAGGAGGCTGAGGGGCTTAGGGCCTATCTGTCTTCCCTCTCCTTGCCTGTCATTCTCCTTCCTGGCTCTTTTCTGACTCTGAGGAGCAGCAGAAAAAAGAGGAGAAATCTCTGGATGGGTGTTGAGGTATCACTTAAAATCTACTTGTTTTTTCTCCCATCCGTTTTGTAAGGAATGCTGAGGTGTCGGTGGGTTTGGGGGCAGGGAACAAGGAGCACCTAGAAATGCCAGCGTTCCATGGGGTTGCAGGATGGGGCTGAGCACACACACACAAATTACAAGCTTGGCCATGGAAATTGCTGGAAATTATCCCGGTGGGAGAAGAGTGAGGGATTAAACACCGGCGTTCCTCAGCTCTTTCCAGCGAGCTCAGCAAGTCCCGCTGTCAGGTCGAGCGGGGCTGAAGGACATCCACTGTCCCCTCCAGCTGTGCAACATCTGCCCGTGCGAGCGGCTGGGAGCGGCTGGCGGGGACAGGGAGCCGTGCCAGGAGGTGCCTGTGGTGGCTTTGCCCGCTGAGACGGGCACGATGAACACACAGAGCCCAGCGGGGCGAGCGCTGCGCTGCCAGGAGGAGCCCAGAGCGGGCAGGGCTGGCTCCTCGCAGGACGCTGCTGTCCCCTGTGTCAGAATCTGAGCTATTGATGATTCCCAGATTGTAGAAAGTCTCTGTCTTTCAGCCCCATTGCCAAAGAAGCCATAATTTGTCTGTGCTGTTTTCAAGGTTGTTTATTCTGTTTATCTCTACCATGTTCTGCTGCCCTGCCGCAGCTCTGTCCTGCAGGGCAGCGTGTGGGGCTCTGCCCTCAGTGGGATGGTACAAACATTAAATACCACAAACTACCTGTGCTGGATTTACAATAACGTGCCAATATCTGTCACCTACGTTGGACAGTGTGTCCCCAGCCTGAACCAACAGAAAAATGCCAACACCACAGTGAAACATGGAGGGCATGAAGAAGGAGAAAAAGGACAAGACACACCCAATTTCCTCCATCTTGTCCCCTTTGGACCCCTAATCTAGAATCCTAAAATTTTACTTTTGCACCCATGCCACACTTAATTATTACTCATATCAAACACTCAGAGCTGGTAATTGATCCTGTAGGATTGAAAACTCCTCTCCATGGACAGAGATTACAGACAGTGTCTGTGGGGGCTCTGTCCAGGGGGGTTCTGACCCCTGCCAGGGTCCCAGGGCAGCCAGGGCAGCCAGAGGGAAGCTCTGGATTCCCACACCGGGGCACTCCGGCTGCTTCCGAAGCCGCCTTTGTCCCCACGAGGCTCTCTGGGATGGGTTTGGTGTCACTCAGCGCTGGATTCGGGGTGATGGTCACTTTGAGGGGAGTCGGGAAAATCAGAGCCCGGCAGGGAGAAGAAAGCGGCTCCTGCGGTTCCCAAAGAACCCGGGAAAGTGGGGTCAGGATGGGGAAGGGATGGAGGGGTGGGAGGGAAGGAAAGGGACAGGACCTGTCGGGTAGAAGCGAATTCCTGCCTTCCTCCATCCTCCCCGAAACTGGAACCTTCCCTGTCCTGCTCTGCTGCCGAGCCCCGGGAGGTGGCACAACCCATCCTGATCCAGTGTCATTTGCAGGAAGTAACCTGGCAATTAGGGCATTAATTAGCCCTTGAGGATGTGACCCAGTGGTATTTAACCCTTTGCAAGCTGCTGCTGCTCTGCAGGGCCGAGTCACAGCAGGGGTAGGGCCACAGGGGTTAAACCCATCGGTTTGGGTTATGGATCTCTAATTGTTTTATCCATAATTCGCTGCTAGAAAGCCCAGCCTGGGGTCAGCAGCATTCCTCACACGGGGATTAACGTGCCCAAGCGGTGCTGGTGTCCCTGCCCTGCTCTTCGGATCCCTCTTTGTCCCATCTTGGGGCTGGAGGGAGCTCCCAGCAGAGGGGGGCTGGAGGTGCCAATGCTGCCCTAAATATGGGGAGAGAGAAGATTGTTTTCCTTGCCATGGCAGTGCCTCCAGCAGAACAAGTGCCCTCTGTTCTCTGCCTAAAACTCCGATTTTAAAAAAGAAAAGAAGATGCTGGCTCGATGAGAAGTGTCAGGGCACAGTCCTGGAGAGAAACGTTCTCCAGAGCATCTGAGAAAGGCGAGGGGAGCGCGGGGAGGCTTTGGGAGCAGAAGTGACAGAAGCCAAGCGTGGCTTGTAAGAACAAGGGTCCCATCAGGAGCCGATGGGCCGTGACTCCCCGAACCCTGCGAGGGCTTTTCCAGCCGTGCCCAGCGGCAGAGGACTCCCCCGAGGGCGGGATGAGCTCCGCGGTGCTCTCCTGGCCATGGTTGAACAGTTGGGAGCAGGATGGCAGGGCTGGGCTCGGGGAGGGCGAGCGTCGCCTCCTTCTCCCCGTGCCAGGCTGGAAATATGGGCAGAGGAGGAGCTGAGCAGTGATCCCTGCAGCCAGCCTTCAAAGCAGTTGCTTCTAAGTTTTTGGAAGTGTTTTCCCACTTTTGGAAGTGTTTTCCCAACCCAGGGCCGAGCCCTGTGAGGTGTGCGAGGCTTGCAGGGTGGACAGGGTGGGCAGAGTGGGCAGCGCCCGAGCTGGGCTGCCCTGCCCATCTCTGCCCTGCCCATCTCTGCCCTGCCCAACCTGCCCTGCCCATCTCTGTCCTGTCCATCCTGCCCTGCCCAACCTGCCCTGCCCATCTCTGCCCTGCCCAACCTGCCCTGCCCAACCTGCCCTGCCCATCCTGCCCTGCCCATCTCTGCCCTGCCCAACCTGCCCTGTCCAACCTGCCCTGTCCAACCTGCCCTGCCCAACCTGCCCTGCCCAACCTGCCCTGCCCATCTCTGCCCTGTCCAACCTGCCCTGCCCATCCTGCCCTGCCCATCCTGTCCTGCCCAACCTGCCCTGCCCAACCTGCCCTGTCCAACCTGCCCTGCCCATCCTGCCCTGCCCATCTCTGCCCTGCCCAACCTGCCCTGCCCATCTCTGCCCTGCCCAACCTGCCCTGCTCAACCTGCCCTGCCCATCTCTGCCCTGCCCAGCGCTGCCCAACCTGCCCTGCCCAACCTGCCCTGCCCAACCTGCCCTGCCCATCTCTGCCCTGCCCAACCTACCCTGCACAACCTGCCCTGCACAACCTGCCCTGCCCAACCTGCCCTGCCCATCTCTGCCCTGCTCAACACTGCCCTGCCCAACCTGCCCTGCCCATCTCTGCCCTGCCCAACCTGCCCTGCCCAACCTGCCCTGCCCATCTCTGCCCTGCCCAGTGCTGCTCTGCCCGTCTCTGCCCTGCCCATCTCTGCCCTGCCCAACCTGCCCTGCCCAACCTGCCCTGTCCAACCTGCCCTGCCCAACCTGCCCTGCACAACCTGCCCTGCCCATCTCTGCCCTGCCCAACCTGCCCTGCCCAACCTGCCCTGCCCATCCTGCCCTGCCCAACCTGCCCTGCCCAACCTGCCCTGCCCAACCTGCCCTGCCCAGCCTGCCCTGCCCATCTCTGCCCTGCCCAGCGGTCCCTGCCAGGGCTCCCCCCGCAGCCCCCGCCGAGCAGATGGTGCCGATTTTCGCAGGGGGAGGTGGAGGAAACAAAGCCCGGAGCGCTGCGAGGCTGCAGCCTGGCTCCCAAACGCAGCCCGGGGCGGGGGGGTGACATCTGTGGGGACGGGGTGCCCGCGGCGTGCCCAGCCCCGCGCTCAGCAGGCACTTGCGGCTGCCCTGCCTCACTTATCTCCCTCCTTTGTTGGTTTTTCCCTCCTTTCCAGATAAAGCAGCCCGCGCACCGTCGGCGGGGATGCCGGTGAAGCCAGCGGGCTGCCTCCCCCTCGGTGCCCGGCGCGGGAGCAGCCGCTGACTGGGAGCTGGAATGTTTCCCAGCCCAGGCGATGCCCAGCCCTGCTCCTAGCCTGCCTTCCCAGGGCTGACATTCCCGGTTTTCTGCTGTTCGCAGAGCAGTGCCACCGAGCATGCCGCAGGAAGCCCCTCGGCAGCCCAAGGCCAGGCGAGTTTTCCAGTGAGTCCAGCTCCTCAAAGCCAGAGTTGCCTCTTCCCACCCCGGCCTTGGGAGGCACCTCGGACAGCGAATTCCCCTGTGCCCAGCGGGTGTTGAGGTCCTGGAGGGCGGGCTGGAGGAGGGGGCTGCCATGGAAGAGAATGTGTTCAGCGTGCAGCAGATCCAGCCCAACGTCATCTCGGTGAGGCTCTTCAAGCGCAAGGTGGGCGGCCTCGGCTTCCTGGTGAAGGAGCGCGTCAGCAAACCGCCCGTCATCATCTCGGACCTGATCCGGGGCGGGGCTGCCGAGCAGAGTGGCCTCATCCAGGCTGGGGACATCATCTTAGCTGTCAATGGCAGGCCCCTGGTGGACATGAGCTATGAGACGGCGCTGGAGATCCTGAGGAGCATCGCCTCCGAGACCTACGTGGTCCTCATCCTGCGCGGCCCCGAGGGCTTCACCACTCACCTGGAGACCACTTTCACGGGCGACGGGACGCCCAAAACCGTCCGTGTCACCAGGCCCCTGTGCCCAGCCCCGAAGGCGGTTGACTTGTCCAACCCAAGCGTTCCCAGCAAAGAGCAGCCACCGCCAGCAGCCATGGGATCTCTGTGGAGCAGGGAAACGGGCAAGGAAGTGGAGCCCGTGGTCCACGTTAACGGCGTTGTTCCCAGCAGCAAAGGGCCAGACGCCGGCAAGGACAAGGACAAGGACAAGGACAGGGCTGGTGGTCACTCCTGCCTCAATGGCAGCGTGGAAGACAATGAGCTGCTCAAAGAAATCGAGCCCGTCCTGGACCTGCTGAAGAGCAGCAGTAAGGACAGCGGTGGAGATGCGCCCTCCAAGGTAGAGACACGGGATATAGAAGTCCAGGTGGACTGGTAGGTCACTAAATACATTTTTTACCTTTGGTGGAACGTGCTGGTTGTGGCTCCCCGAGGTGTCGGTGAGCGCCTCTCCACAGCAGGGTGGAGATGGAGAGGAAGGGATGGAAAAAAAGGGGGAAGTGGTCAGTGATGGGAAGATGAGAAATTGGGAGACGATTGTAGAAGACGGATGTAAGCATGGGAAATCAGGGAGATCGGGAATAGCGTCTCATGGAAAGCTGAGCTGTGTGATGTGGTGGATCACAGGCTGGGCTGGGCTAAATTCTGCTGGTGTTCTCAGTTCCATTTGTTTTAAGTTGAAGCAAAATCCCGTGCCTCAGTTTCCCCACCTGCCAAAAAATGTCCGTGGTATTCTTGTCCTTGTGGTCCTGCTTTAGAGCTCTCTGGATGAAATCCACTTTAACTTTAGTGGGAGAGGAGGCAGGAAGGTCGGACCAACAGGGCCTGGTGCTTTCCAGGAGAAATGAGCTTCCAAACCTTTTGGGAGACGGGAGGACAGCCCCAGTCCAGATCCATCTGAAGCCAAGACAGGGAAGGGCAGCGGGACCAGCCTGGTGGGAAGGGGGGAGATGTTTTTTATCAACAGCTCGGGATGGCCAATCCTTGTGGAAATGCCAGGATGGATCTGGCCCTGCTCCTAGAGAGCCAGATCACGATTTCAGGACTTGTGTGCATGGGTGGGGATGTGAACAACGTCCTGTTGAGGAGGGGGAGGTGGGACAGCTCCCGGTTTTCCTCAGCGTTTCCCCGAGCTGCAGCGCACCGCTCCGGAGCCGGGGCAGCTCCCCGGGGCCCTTCCTGATTTCCAGATCTGTCATTTGTAGCTGGTTTTTTCAGTCCCATCTTCCTCTCCTCCTGACCGTTCATTAACACGGTTAGGTTGCCTTTCCCTGTTGCTTTTCCCCAGGTCCCCAAACACTTTTTAGCAGTGTCAAGTGCTGCAGCAGGTCGTGGCTGCCCTCGCTTATCGACTGGCTGGAACAGCCCTGAGGGTTTGCTGGAGCTGCAGGTCTCTGGCTTAGCCATGGAAAAATCTGTAATTCCAAGTTCTCTGTAATTTCAGGTTCTCTTGCTGTAGACACTTCTTAGGAAAAGGAAAGCATTGTGTTAAGGTTTCTTTATCAGAAACAAGAAGGAAAGCCACAGCGGGGTCCCCTCTATGGGCTCCCAGCCAAGGCTGAGCTCCCGCTCACTCCCTCCCCAATCCCACCCACACCCTCCATGTTTTCCACCTTCCTTGTTTTATTTTCAGTTGTTTTCATGTCGTTCCTGCTCTCCCAATTTATTCCTGTTTCCCGTGGAGGACACGGTACTCAAAGCTTGTTAGGGTGCTCACACTGAGTCAGAGGGAAAAAATATCTGCTGGGCTTGGTGCTGGTGTCTGGGTGTCCTTCCTGCCACCCCCTCCCCACCACAGCCACTCTCCAGCTCTTCTTCACTTGGGAATTGTCGGGAGTTGGAAAATTCGGAAATTTGCTGTGCAATGGGAAGTGATTTAAACCCCCGAGTTCAGGACGCTCTCCAAAAACCTCTCTGGGCTGTGCATGATTTAATCCCATCCTGGGAGAGCCTGGTTTAAGGATTGAGACGTTGAAAGGGTCAGGACTGGATAGAAAATGTGCAGGGGGGCTTCAAAATCCCCCCTGGTTTAGCTCAGGGACCTGGGGGTCGCAGCCCAGCAAAGCCCCCAGAGGACACAATCCCAAACACTGGGATTGAACCCGGGCAGCCTCACCCTTCAAACCGTGTCCCCCATCCCACTGCCCGCAGGATCTCCAAGGAAATTTTGCTCCAGCCATGGGGAGGGATGAAAAACGTGATTCTACTCTGAGGAGTCTCTTTTATTCAGAGATTACACAGAAATGCTTTGATTTCACTTTGATTTCACTGAAACGAAAGGATCTTGAGGGAGCAAAGCAGGGACTTCACCAAAATCTCAGTTTTTTTGTTTTCAATATCCTAATTAAAAAAAAAAAAAAAATCTTTGTAATCTCTATACCTTGGGGATGAAAATCCACTTTTTGGTCAAATTCTCCTGCTTGATGAAAAGCTGCAGCCTGGCTCTTGTGGAAGGACTCGGTGTGAGGGAGAAGACCCAGGCTGGAGCAGAGTTGAAAGATTCAGTGCAGGGAGAAGCTGCCAGGAGCTGCTGTGCAGGGCAAAGGGCATTTCCGTGGGATTGGGCTGGGGATGATTCATCTCCTCAGCTCAGCTCACAGAGCTGGGGCATCCTGAAGGTCTCCTGCACTCCAAGTTTTCTTGGATGGCAGGAGAAGTGCAGAAAGGTCAGGGCATAATGGGGAGTGGATAGCTGGGGAGAGTGTTGGTCGATGCCAAGGAAATGCCAAAAAAGCCCCAGTGTGTCGGAATCTGAGGTATTGATGATTCCCAGATTGTAGAAAAGTCTCTGTCTGTCAGCCCCGCTGCCAAAGCAGAAGCCATAATTGGTCTGTGCTGGTTTCAAGGTTGTTTATTCTGTTTATCTCTAACATGTTCTGCTGCCCTGCCGCAGCTCTGTCCTGCAGGGCAGCGTGTGGGGCTCTGCCCTCAGTGGGATGGTACAAACATTAAATACCACAAACTACCTGTGCTGGATTTACAATAACGTGCCAATATCTGTCACCTGCGTTGGACAGTGTGTCCCCAGCCTGAACCAACAGAAAAATGCCAACACCACAGTGAAACATGGAGGGCATGAAGAAGGAGAAAAAGGACAAGGCACATCCAATTTCTTCTGTCTTGTCCTCTTTGAACCCCTCATCTAGAATCCTAAAATTTTACCTTTGCACCCGTGCCACACTTAATATTACTTATATCAAACACTCAGAGCTTGTAATTGATCCTGTAAGATTGAAAACTCTTTTCCATGGACAGAGATCACAGCCAGTGTCTCTGGGGGCTCTGTCCAGGGGGTTCCTGACCCCTGCCAGGGTCCCAGATCTGCCAGGGCAGCCAGAGGGAAGCCCTGGGTTCCCACACCAGTGAGCCTTATCAGATGGCTGCAGCTCATCCCTGACTACTCCAGGCAGGAATAGCACAGGAATTGAGCTCTACCTACACCCAGGAGGGTGCAAAACCTGGCTCAAGGTTGAGCTGGACACCTCCAGCCTGGCCTGTTTGGCTGTGATGCAGCTGGAGATGATGGATTTGGGATTTGGGATGGATCCTGTCCTGTCCCCTCTTTGCCTGGTGCTGACCTGCCCAGCCCGGGGCGCTTTGGCAGAGCCGATCCCACTCACGGAGCTGTTCCCAGGGCAAAGGGAATGGCACAAGACTGAGCTTGCCCACAGGGAGCCAAAAACTTCTTGCTCAAGATGGGTTTTGGCAAAAACAATTCAAACTACACCTGGTGCTTTGGGCTTCCAGCTCCTCTCTCCAGAGTTACTTACAAGGAAAGCTGGAAGGGAGCCACAAGAAAGACGGAGAGGGACTTCTTACAGGAGCATGGAGGGACAGGATAAGGGGAATGGATTCAAAATGGGCAGGGTTAGGTGGGATATTGGGAGGGAATTGTTCCCTGGAGGGTGGGCAGGCCCTGGCACAGGGTGCCCAGAGCAGCTGTGGCTGCCCCTGGATCCCTGGCAGTGCTCAAGCCCAGGTTGGACAGGGCTTGGAGCAGCCTGAGACAGTGGAAGATGTCCCTGCCCATGGCAGGGGGTGACATCTTAAAGGATGTCCTTTAAGATCTTTTCCAATCCATCCTCTGGCTGATTGATTGATTGATTGAGCCTAAATTTGCTTTGGGGACACAATGAGTTCCTCTCCATCCCCTGGGTCTGCATTCCCCAGGGGAATTCTCCTTGCTGGCTTCTCCTCCACCGTGTGCCCTTGGGGTGGTCCATGGCCAGGCTCAGGCCATCTGCAGTCAGAAAAGGGAGCAAGATTGGGGCTCAAGGTATGATGAGAGCTGGCATTTCTGCCACGAGGCTCACCGTGGGCTAGGAAGCAAAAATAGAGTTTGATTCACTCCCTGCCAGCGAGCCCAGGTCTGTTTTTCCCTCAGAGCTCTGGGGAGATTGTCAGGTCCCATCTTCCCTCCTTCTTCCCCCCCTCCCCACCGAGTTGCCAGGGTTTGTTTTCCATCCCAGGTCTCTTCCCTGACATGAGCAGCATGATGGAAACATGGCAGTTTCAGTCCAAGCAGCAGCCCCGAGAGAGAGAAGTGTGCTGAGAGCAGGAATTCAGTTCAGGAAGCATTTCAAGGTTTTAGGCTCCAGCTTGCCTTGGAACAAACCCCATAATTTTACAGTTCCTGAAGAGAAAATTCTCTTCCTCCCACTGTCCTCAGGACTGCCAAAATCTCTTTGTGTTGCTCAAAACATTTCATTTGCCTTTCTGATCTGTCTTCATTCTTCTGCACTTGGACACAAAACTTTCAAACCTCAGAAAGGAGAAGGTTCGGTGGAATTTCCACGTTTGGGCCGTTCTGGAAATGGATGCAGGGAGCTCTGGCAGGGAATATCCTTCCCCTGCTCCCCTGGCTGAGCCTTCTTCCTCATCACTCTACTGCACCACTGATCCAGAGAGGCATTTTGTGCCTGGAAACCACATATTCCCTGCAAATATATCCCGTATTCCACCCAAATATATTCTGTATTTCCCCCAAATATATTCCATATTGCCCCCAAATATATCCCACATTCCCCCTAATAGATCCCATATTCTTCCCAAATATATCCCACACTCCTCTCAAATATACCCCATATTCCACCCAATTAAAATCTATATTCCCCCAAATATGTCCTATATTGCCCCAAATATACCCCACATTGTCCCTAAATATATCCCACATTGTTCCCAAAGATATCCCATACTCCTCCCAAATATACCCCGTATTCCACCCTATTACATCCTATATTGCCCCAAACATATCCCATATTACTCCAAATATATCCCATACTCCCCACAAATATATCCCATATTGTCCCCAAATTTATGCAATATTACCCCCAAATATATCCTATATTGCCCCAAACATATCCCATATTGCGCCC